TTTTCTTTTTGAGGATTTATTTGAGGGCCACGTGCTACTCGTGGAAACACCTCGGTCACGTGACCTCGGGGGGTGCGGCGGCGGCATCCCTCCCTTCACGCACGAGGGGGATCCCGCTTCCGAAACAATCGAATCAGCGCAATTCAAGGAACAGTGAACTCCACCCACGCCTTCTGAGACGCGCCGTAGAGCCGCAGACAAACCCGATTATTTAAATCCCACGGCTTCCTCTGCGAGCAGCGGCCCCGGCGGTCGCTCTCGCCGCCTTTTGTTCAGCGTTCAGCTTTGACCGCGATGAAAGGGAGAAACACAAGTGCGGCCCGTCTCCGTCTCTCGCCGTCTTCCTATGACGCCTTTCTTCCACCCCAGTACCTTTTTTTTTTTTAATTCACATTCCTCTGTTTTATTGGATTCTTTTATGCCGTGTGGCATCGTGCCCTCAGAATGGGGATTAGCAGGAAGCTGTGCATATGGACGACGTGTTCTCACCAAATGTCTGTCCTTATTTTACTGCTTTTAATCATTCGGTGTGAAACCTCGTTATGTAATTATTCTCTCTCTCTCTCTGTCTCTCAGCTTATTTGATGGCATTTATCTTTTAAGCGGTGTAAAAACAATTGTATTGTCGGTACGAAGGCGAAAAGGAGATTTCTAACGTCTGCTTTCTTTGCTCAATGTTATCTTCCCCCTTGGGAGTTGATTCAACAGTCCTTTGTGACTGCTCCGTTTGAATGAGCGTGCATGCAGATAAACGGGGGGCGGGGAGGGGGGGTTTGAATGCTACGCTAATGATAGCATCATTCCGGGCCTTCTGTTATCCTCTGAATGCGCCTCGGCCTTATCACAACACGCGCGTATCTCGGCTGGATGAGTCAATAAATAGAAAATCTCTCAATTCAACAATTTCCTCTCGTGTGGTTTTGTAGCTCTAAAAGTGTCGGCTTGGTTTTTCCTCTCAGGCTAAATTCATGCAATCTTCTCGTGAAGGATGAAGGATGTTGAGACTGAATAAAGGCGCTTTTTAAGGCAACCGCTGTTTTTGGGAGGAAGAAAACTGGATTATTAAACCCATTTATCCATGTTCATGTTAGACTACCAGTTTGAAAGACATTATATGTATTTTATTAATAAGTCAACCAATTTTATAATGAATTGCTTGCAAAAATACAACGTAGTCTGATGCTTGAGTTCTTTCTAACTGGTGCTGCACATAAATAAGATGTAGATAAACAGCGACGGGTTTTATTGTGATGTTCATTACATGTGAGCAGCTGGTGTGGTACACATACACGCCAATAGAGGTGATGAGGCATCAGAGAGGAAAAAAGATCTAACGGTTTCTAAATCCCTGTATGAAAAGTTGGATTCCATGATATTTCAAATTGGAATGTCTGCACCCAGGGGCCAGGTAATGGTTTTTAAAAATGGGGCCCTTTAATTTTGCCGCAATGGCACTTTACCGCTCGAGTGGTTCGGTTTGCGCTCGTGAACACTTTCTAACTCACACAGAACTCACACCCCCCCCCCCCCCCCCCCCTGCAGGGCATGTTATTTAAATGTGCACCATTACAGCTGCAGTGTATGCAGGTGTCGAACAGTGTGAGTGTAAAGCAAACACACCGCATTGAGCTTGTCATTTAAAACCGCGCGTGCGTGCGTGTGTGCGCTGCAGTAAGAGCTGCTTCTGGTAAACTGAAGATTTGTTCACTATTGTGCAGCTGTAGCCGTCTGCCGTGTGTTCAGACGTACGTGTATTGCAGTTTATTGGAGTTGCAATAAGGTCAGCTGTCAGATCTGTTGGGCGGGGTGGGTGGGGGTGGGGGGGTGTACGGGACGGTAGCGGAGTGTTTCGTAACTGTAACAGCGCTACAGCAGCCTCGCTGTCTATCGGTGTGACCTTTCACCTCCCCCCCCCCCCCCCTCGTTGCTTTAGGAGGTATTCAGCCGCGAAGGTGTCGGCAGTGACGACTTGCCTCCGCCTCCCCCGAGGCGGATCGGTCCGACAATCCGGCCCGTTCCGTCAGCGGAGCGAGAGGGGCGGCGGGGTTGTGTGGGACAGGACTGCTTACTCAGGCTTTTCATACGCGTGGAATACATGAAGCGGGAGGAAAGAATCTGAAACTGAGAGCAATCTGGCCCAGTTTTCCCCTCTTGGCTCGTGGCTCCAACCTGGTGATGCAGGCAGTTTTTCTATTCATGCTCTTTGGCATCACGATGTGAGGCAAAGACATGCGTCTCGGGGGGGGGGGGGTAGCATTGTTTAGCACCGCGCGCACACACATGCATGAGCTCTTTCTCCTCACACACAATCGGGCCGACAGGATGGAGGAAAATCTCCTTTCGCTTTGGTCCGACCCTCATCCTCCATCTCTGTGCAGCACCGTGTTCTCATCACATGTCACCATCACTGTGTGTACAACATGACAACGAGGATCGTGAGTCAGGAACCGACACGTTGGCGCTGTGTGTTAAAGCGGCCCGTGCAGGCTTCAGGTCCGTTGGCGGTTTGAAATGGGAAACGGGAAGTACTCTTTGATTCGGATTCATACACTGGTTCTGACGCTTACAGGCTTTGCAAAATTAAAATGGAATCGGCCGCGATTGTTGCCGATTGACTCCTAACAAAACTAAATGTCAAGAATTGACTTTTGCCCCGACCCCCCCTCCATCTGATTAAAGCCCCCGAGCATGGCCTCTGCTCATTACGGGAAAATAAATGAGCGTCGGCCCGTTACTGGACGGCCCGCTGGCATTAGAGGTGTGAAGAGAGGACCACTTCGTCCCGCTCGGCTGATGGGGGGGGGGGGGGGACGATTCTCTGCGCTCAGACTCTGCGGGGGTGAGGAGAACGCCGGCGGCGGGAGTTTCAAAGCACTTGTGATTTTAAAGCCTCCGCGTTCTCGCTCTCCTTTTTTTTTTAAACCTCGGTTTCATTCGCAGGATTCAATTTGAGCTCCGGCGCCTCGGACGCCTCTTTGTGATGAGCCTCGGCGGAGCGAACGGCGTTTCGGCTCCATCAAAGAGCATCCGTCCACGCCGTGTGCCTCAGCAGGTGTCCCCGCCTCCAGCGGCGCGGATCTCGGCGTCAACATCGTAATTACCTCGGACCCGGGGTATAAACGGGGAAAGAAGCTCGCAGGGAGACGGTGTTTTTTTTTTTTTTCCCTCTGTACACGTGTACGTAGACACGCTGTCCCCGTCGGCCGCCGCCATTGCCTGCGTGCCCCCCTCCAGCGAGGCTCTGGCGTGATGAGATGCGGACAGCAGCGGCGACATGATGATGATGATGATTTCGTTTTCTATCAGAAAAACACGGGACCTGAGATCCCAAAGTGCTTCTGACGCGCGGCGATTTCACGCCCGCAGTTGAACAAATTAACGGTGTTTTTGCACATTCTGTCTCGTTGGTTCGAGCCATTTTATCAAGATAAATCTACAAACCCCCCCACACACAGAGCTGCAGCTACTTGCTGAGTTTGTGAGGGCAGATTATCCTTGACAGCCCTGTTTTCAACACCGGCTCCTTCAATTACTGAGCAAACGGCTTCTGGGAGCTTGTTTTTGTCTCTCGAGCTTGTGAATTATTTCACATTTCTCCGAAGATGTTTTTCGCCATCCGGCTCAGAGACTCTAGGGCATCAGGACCGTATCTTCAGAAGATGAGCGGAGCGTGACGATACGACTCCCATGAGAGCCATTTGATGCTCCGACGTAAAACGATACAGTTTACTTTGTAAATGAAAATGTGACTCGTCAAATTCCAGTTTTATGTCAAAACGAGAACCGTCGATCATTTTACCCAAAGTGTGTTTGTTAAAATGAGAATAACACACAGTCCACTTCGTGTGGAGGAAAGCGTGTGTTTCCTCCTGCGGTCGGGTTAATGGACGAGGATTTAGATTGGATGAGACGATGCGAGGCGGAAAGTGCCTCCCTCACACGCACACGCAGTCTGCGGGGGTCCACCGTGACTGTCACGCCACCGAGGCCCCTCCGCGTCGCATCAGCCGACATCTGACCTTTAAATGAACCCGCAGCTGGAGCCCCGGCGCCGCGGGGAGGGTCGGCGAAGGCGGCCGGATGAGAGTGAAGCGCGAGGGCCGAAGAAGGGAGAAAACACGCGCCGCGGCTCATTAGCGCAGCGTTCGTTAGCGCGGCGCTCGTGAGCCGCGGCGCGTGTTCACGGGCCACTTAGCGACGCCAGCTCTCATCTCGGAAAAAGGGGAAGGGTCCATTCTCGCTGCTCTTTTGCTTTCTTTTATATTTTCTTTTGTTTGAAGATCAAACCACATCGAATCCAACTGGTCTTCAACCCTTTATTTTGCTCGTTATAAACTCCCAGCGCATTGGCGACATCGCCAGAGCGCACGTTTCTCTCTGCCTTTTTTAATCGCATCGCATTCACTCAGAAACAGATGTTGGAATAGAAAAACACTGATTTCCAGAACGGCCGCCATGTTTTTTTGATTAAAGAGTTGAAAGCAGCCGGCGGAGCTGCAGACATTCGCTCCGGTTCTTCCAGGAGAACCGTTGTTCTCTGGCACCTCGAATAGGTTCCATTGTCTTCTAATATAATCAGCCAGTCGTCGAAGCCCCAGTTGAGGTAAAAACACCTTGTTGAGCCGTCGTTGTGAAACTGGAGCTGAAATAGTTCACAACATCCCACGGCTCACTTTGGAAATCATTCTGGTCTTTGTTTTAACAAATAATGTGAGTCTTAAACATTTAGAATTATGTTTACACTGTAAAAACTGGGTATTATGGATGATTATACATATTTTACTTTATTAAAATAATTGTAAATAATCCGTACATTAAAATGTTGCACAGTGTCATTGTGAAGCTTCCACACCCTTTTTGATTAATAACAATATAATAACAAGATAAGACCTTAATAATTAGCCTGTACTGGTTAATAAATATCGTGACACCTTCATGTTCCTCCTGTACATCTGTGCACTACTTCCCTTCATTAAATCCTCCTCTTTGTTTCACCGTAGGGGCCACAAACGTAAGCACGACGAAGCCCAGGAGGAAGAGGAGGACGGGAAGGAGGAAGAGGAGGAGGAAGAGGGATCTGCCGACGAGTCTTCTAAAGACTCCAACGAGGAGGGAGGGGGCAGCAGCTCGGAGGCGGACGAGATGGCCGCGGCCTTGGATTTGGAGCTCAATGACTTCATGTGACGTGGAGAATGATGGGACTCTTTCACAGCAAAAGGACGACGACAAAAACAACTTAAGATCTGAAGTGGTACCTTTAAAAAAAAAAAAAAAATACTATTTTTCTGCTTTGGATGTACGAGGCACGAACGTGTGCTGCCACAAAAAACGAATGTCCTGTACAGAGATGACGCGCTGCCGTGTAAATAGAGGTTTTTTTTTTTTTTTTCGTAGCATCGACGTACGGCCTTTTTGGCAGAACATTTTTGGATGTTTAACATTTTATTGTAAGATAACAACCCGTATGAGGCATCGAATTTGATACTTTTTTTGGTTTTACTTTTTTTCTATCTCAATTTTTATATTGATGAGGAAAAAAGACAAATGAAATGACGTAAACGGTCGTACATGCCAAAGAGTTTGGAGTCGGTTTGCCACGGCGTGCAGCTAAGTATTTTACTCTGGATTTCCAGTTTTATTCTTTGTGTTTTGTTTTTCGTTGTTTGTTCGGGTCATAAATGCCACCAGCGGATCGAGACGTTTGAATGTCTTCCTCAGAGTCATTTCTTCCACCACAATGTGTCCGGTGACGTTACGGTAAGCTCCTCCCACCAGCGCGAGCTGAACCCAAAGGCAACGCCCCCATTGTCATGCGTTGCCTCACCTGCTGTACAGTAAGGACTCGGCTACACTGGAGCTCGACGTGTTTTTCTCAGCGTGTTCTATTCTAATTATTCAAATAGTCAAATTCAAATAAGCTACTCGTCTCTGGGATAAATGGAACTTGAAACCAACTAATTTATGATTTATTCTGGGGAGCTTGAGGGAGATGTGACTCAGATTTCTAGAAGGAAAACGTTTTTTTGGGGGGGTTATTTGGGGTGAGCGAACCCTTTTTAACCTGCAGGAGGCGAGACGCTCAGACGGCGTGAAGCCGCCTTAAACGAGCCCAAAGGATGAGGTCTTTTTTTCTTTTTTAGTCGTCTGTGTGACGACGGAGACGGGCGTCCTCCGGTTCACCCAGCAAACACGCCGTGCACTTTACTGCCACCACACATGGCGGGAGTTCCATCAAACGCGCCCAGCTCTCTGACCTCTGACCCTCACTGTGCCAAGGGTGGGGGGGAGGGGCAGGGGCATTTACCCTCACCTTCACCCCGACGACACAAAGACGATTCTTGTTTTGTTTTTTTTAGTTTCAATCTAACGACTGACTTGTACAGTTTTTGTAAAGTGTATTTCCTACTTGACCCTGAGAGAAAAGATACTTTCATCAAATAAAAATGTTTCTAAGCAACACAAATGCTTTTTTCGGGGGAGGGTTGGGGGGCACTAAATGTATCTCGTTTCCGCTGAACGTGGTCATTAAGTTGTTTCTCCAGATGGAGTCCATTAGCGGGCCTCTTCAGTGCCGGGTATTAAACGCGGTGACGATGTTGCCTGATGCTCGATGAGCCTCCCAGCAGGAAGCGCTCCTCGGCTAATGGCCTCTTGTGTTTTCACCGCGACCATCAGCCGTCGGGCCTCGGCGACGCCTTGTTTAGATGCGCGTCGCTGGCGTCTGCAGACGCACCTCACCTGTGCAGGTTACAGGCTCAGCGTTTATGAATGAATTCAACGTGGCCTTGTTCTATTCTTTTGGAGGACTTGTCTCGCTCGCCTGGTAACCGGGGGAGTCAAACGGTACTTGAAAGTATTTTAAGGGCCGGGACTCGGTGCTCTTCTTTCCTCCCGAAGCAAACGGCAATAAACCGAGAGGCGTTACTCACTCCCAGAGCGCAGTGGTCATCGAAGTCCACATTTTAATTTAATTTACTCCAATTTGCTGTTTTTTTTATCAATCAGCAGAGGCCAAATCTCACTACTCAAAGAAGCCATATACGAAAAATGATTTACATTTTTAGCAAATTAATCAGTGTTAACATGACCTTTTATTTAATTGCTTGTGGGTTCAAAATCTGATCCATTGACATTTCGCCGTTGTACGCTGCTGGACGAAGCTGACCGTGTGTTAAATAGACACAAAATGTACACAAAATCCAGGATCTTGCCGCTTTAAGTCTTTAAGAAAAGTTTTTGGAAAAGCTTAAAACCATTTTGTCAGGCTTGCATGAAGTGTGTGCGCTTCATCTGGGATTAACCTACAAACCTCTCGCTGTTACGCCCGGCGCCTTCATGCAAATGAGGCTGCACCCTTTCCTCCAGATGTCTTCACCTAAAGCTAAAAAAGAAAACGGCTTCCGTTCCCGTGCGTGTGTGTCAGCTGCTCACTGGTAACCCCCCAGGGAGAAACGCACCTTGGTACCTGTGATCTTCTGAAGCCTCCGTCCTGACGGATGCGATTGATCAGGTTGCAGGTGAGAATGCATTCAGGTCATTTGTATTTCCATTTGTCGTATTTGTTTGTGTGTGCGTTAGCCAGTTGGCTACTAGTTAGCTTGTTCGTGTGCCTTGCACAAACTGGAGTACCAAAAATAAAAAAATGTTAGCCAGAAAATTACATCATTTCTTACACAGTGCAGTACCTTTGCAAGTCAAGAAAGCCCAGAAAAGTTCTTTGGAAAAAAATAATGACAAATATAAATCCTCCCTCCAGAAAAATCCATTACAGTTATAGGGCAGATTTTCCATAAAAGGCCGTTAAATCTGCATTTAATGAGCGATAAAACCTGGAATGGTCTTCAATCCTAAATCACAGGACATACATCATCGGAGAGACTATTAAAGCTGTAAATCTAACACATAGTGTACCTGAACGCACCAGTTACTAAGAAAACCTACTGTGAGTAGTTTGAAATTTAATTTCGTACCAAATGAAATTAAGAAAAAGTGTTTTTAGCTTCATGAATATTTAAGTATCATTGCAAAAGAAGAAATATGTACAGAAGTAATCATAATTATCATTATCATAATGACCCATTTACTTTGACACGAAATGGACCTCATCTTAGTAATAATGACATTCATTACCCCAATCATCATCACTAATGACATTTAACATCCGTCATTGGTATTGGATTGTTTTGACAACTGGAAGTGCGCCAGTCAAACTGCAAATGAACAAAAGAAGGTCTTCGATCTCTTCCAAATAGATTTATCTCCACTTCCACTGGATGCAGCTATGCGCCTCGTGGTGGATTTCACTGCACCTCAGAGGTGCAACAAAGTGAAGGAAAATAAGGGGTCTCTGATCAAAGGTCGTCCGGCCTCTTCCTCGCCTTTTGATTGCCGGAGTGCAGACATGCAGCAGCAGAGGGACGGGGACGGGGACGGGGACGGGGGGGGGGCGGGTGAACGTGACTCGGCGAGAGCTTCCGTAAATAAGGATAAATTACAAAAAGGACTGATTACCGCAACTTTGGCAACGCTATTACAGGACCCGGCGCTGTTATTGCTTCCATCTGTTAAATAAGCGTGTGAAACAAACTAGGAAGATTTGATCAAACACCGGATCATCGTTCATTTTCTATTGAATCACCGCCCCGCCCCCCCGCCGCCGCGTGATGCACGTGTTCCCGGCCTCGTGACCCTTTAAAAATCCCCGAGAAGGTTTATCTGGAAAGGTCCACGAGCACGATAGATAACAGCGTGAGCTCGGCGCTGCAAAATGAAAATTGATGAATCGAGTCACACGTGTGATCTGACTGCTGGAGAGCAAGGTCGGAATAACACGCGTGTTCCTTTTTCCGAATCGCCGCCAGTCGAGGCAAAGATTGCAAACTCTCAAAAACAGAACAAATATCGATGATGTTACGTTTTCATTGGTTCAATAAATAAATGAGTGACACTATTTTAAAGTCTGCTGTGAAGAAGTGGAGCTGATAACTGGGCCTTCTGTTGTGATGCCAACCACGTCCTACGGGATGGAGCTTCCTCTCCTTCTCGCTTAAATTGGGCAATTTTGACCCCCGCCTTAATTTCCTAGTGTGACTTTTTTCGGGAAACACACTTGCCAGGAGCTCGATGAGTGGACGGATACCGCTCTTATGTCTGTCTGTGAGGATTAGCTTAGCTTAGCATAAAGGATGGATGGAAGCAAGTGGAAAAGGTGATTTGAAATCAGTTTTGTTTACCAGGATGAAGCTATCCAGGCCCAGGCACATTTCTACATCCGCATACTTTTACATCTAACCGCCAAGAGAGACATTATTGCCCAGCATTGCTTTAAATCCTTTACTGCGTAGATGAATGTGTGTCACAAAAAGGAAAGTCGCCGCTAGATTGCAACAAATCATGATGACTAATGACGGTTTGCCGTATGCACGCGGATCAGACGCCTCTCACAGGGTTACCCGGCTTTCATCCGCCAGCAGCTCTCCGGCCATGACTCATTAGCGTCTGAAAATATTAATCAAAATCCCACACCTCGGCTAATTTCCGCTCCTCCAGAAATACGGCGCTCCGTAATCCCCGGGGGTATTTTTGTCCACTGCCATGTAGCCACTGCGGTTGATCTTTCGTGCTTCTTCTCTTTTTTTTTTTTTTTTTGGAAAGCATCAAAACCTTTATGTGTCGTTTGATGTACTGGTGGGTTTCTCCACGGCTCTTTGGGCCATTATGCGCTGTTTATGTAACAAGGATTTTCCAAACACCTCGGGAGCTTTGCAAAGAAACAAAGCTTCCAGAGGAGCAGAAATGTGTTGATTTGTCTGACTCTTAAAATTGTTTTCAATGCTTCTAGTCCACCACGCAAAGAAAGCCTTCAGCTCATAATAAAATATAATCAGACGGCTTTGTGATGATTCGATTGTATCTTCTGTGGATACGACCTTTAAATCCAGGATGTGCGTCGGTGACATCAGCAATCTCATCACACACATACACCAATCAGACGCAGGGTCCAATCAGACGCAGGGTCCAATCAGACGCAGAGTCCAATCAGACGCAGGGTCCAATCAGACGCAGAGTCCAATCAGACGCAGGGTCCAATCAGACGCAGGGTCCAATCAGACGCAGAGTCCAATCAGACGCAGGGTCCAATCAGACGCAGAGTCCAATCATACGCAGGTCCAATTAGACACAGGGTCCAATCATAGGCAGAGTCCATTCAGACGCAGAGTCCAATCAGACGCAGAGTCCAATCAGACGCAGGGTCCAATCAGACGCAGGGTCCAATCATACGCAGGTCCAATTAGACACAGGGTCCAATCATACGCAGGGTCCAATCAGACGCAGGGTCCAATCAGACGCAGGGTCCAATCAGACAAAGAGTCCAATCAGACAAAGAGTCCATTCAGACGCAGGGTCCAATCAGACGCAGGTCCAATCAGACAAAGAGTCCAATCAGACAAAGAGTCCAATCTGACGCAGGGTCCAATCAAACGCAGGTCCAATCAGACGCAGGGTCCAATCATACGCAGAGTCCAATCTGACGCAGAGTCCAATCATTCGCAGGTCCAATCATACGCAGGTCCAATCAGACAAAGAGTCCAATCAGACAAAGAGTCCAATCTGACGCAGAGTCCAATCTGACGCAGAGTCCAATCAAACGCAGGGTCCAATCATACGCAGAGTCCAATCTGACGCAGAGTCCAATCAGACAC